AGTTACTGGCGACGAAAAGTGGATAGTTTATAACAATGTTACTTGCAAGAGACCATGGGTGAAGCAAGATCAACCAGCCCAAACAGTATCAAAAGCAGCAGAGATTCACCAAAAAAAGATTATGCTGTCAGTCTGGTGGGATCACAAAGGAATTTTGTATTTTGAACTCATGCCGCAGAACCAAACAATAAATTCAAATGTGTGTGTTTGAAGAACTCGAAAAACTGAAGGATGCAATTGAAGATAAGCGGCCGGCATTATCAAATCGGCGGAAGGGTGTTGTTTTCCATCATGATAACGCAAGGCCCCACACATCTTTGGTTACTCGGCAAAAATTATTGGAACTGGGTTGGGATGTTTTGTCACACCCACCATATAGCCCTGACCTTGCGCCTTCGGATTACCATTTGTTTCGTTCCATGCAAAACTCTTTAAATGGTAAAATTTGTAACAACGCGGATGATCTCGGATCACACCTAATTCAGTTTTTTAATAGCAAAGACCAGACATTTGACGAACGGGGAATTTTTACTCTGCCAGAACGATGGAAAAGGTCATCGACAAGAACGGCCAATATCTAATTGAATAAAGTTATATTTTTAAAAAAAATTCCAAATTTGCCTTCTTATTTGAAATCGGCAATGACTTAGTTGCCAACCTAATAATTAAGTATACTGTAGCGGATCGCTGCTCTAGTAAAGCCTGACCGACTCCGAAATCTCTATTGCAGATTCTTCAACATCTAGCTAGACTTCCGGAACAAGCTTAGCTATAGCCCAGCTAAAAGGGAAACAGAGGTGCAGCACGGAATACGTTTATTCGGTACGTATATCGATAGCGAAGTGTAATGTTGGCAAAGCTGTTATTTATCAGATAACTCTGGCATAATTCGTTTGAAATTTAATAACTAAATATTTCTGAGCAGTATTCTACAGCAGGATTTCTATTTGGTCATTGATGAAGCTTCCCACAACACGAACGATTAAACCTACTCCAGTTGCCTATCCCATTGACTTCTCAGACCTCTATGCTTAAAGTTTAACAGTTGTGATATCTTCGACCAACCTGAACACGCTTGTTAAGTAAACCAGATGCACAATCTATGCATTTTACATTGTTAAACTGACACATTGAAATAAGGATTAAGTTAATACTGTCCATGGTGTGTGTTCCCAAAAGAAATCATGTTCTATTAAAACACTCCCTTTATTTTCGACACCGTTTCGATGCTCTTCCTTTCATTCATTATTGAAATCTTCTGTCCTCCACTACTTCGGTCGCCTTGCCATGACGAAAACTCGAGACGCTTTGGTCCTGACGTGGGTGACACCACTAGTCGCTCTCACACTGACTTCGTCACCATTTCGATTGAACCGAGTCTAAAAGGGACAACTTGGAACCAGCAAGCGAGAACCTGGTTCATTCTAAAAGTGCTCACTTCCTACTACGAGAGGCAGAGCATTATTTATTTATTTATTTATTTCAAATGGCAGGCTTTATGATATTTATCATTAGCCCTTAATCTTTGACTTCAGCTTCCCCCAAGAAGGGGGGGGGGTACATTTATAGCAGTAAATTAATAGCAATTCATTAGCTGTATTCGTGCTTCCCAGTATCTTTGGCTTTCCGTACTTGTCTTTACGGCTGGACACCGAATCAGGTGGGTCTTTTCCATTTCCTCCTGTAGGTTACATAGAGGGCATGTGGGTTGAGTGTATAATCCCAATCTGTGAAGGTGTTTTGCCAGGCAATCGTGTCCGGTACGTAGTCTAAACTCAGAAACGGCTTTCGATTCTTGGCCAGTCGGGTATGTCGGAGATTGCCACTCCCACTGTTTCTCCTTTGTTCGAGCTTAAGTTCGTTACACCTTGAGGTCTGGAATTCTCTTCTGATTAAGGCCTTCATTGTGTGGAAAGACATCGGGCGGTCCATGCATTGCAAAATCGTTGTCCCCTTCTTAGCAAGTGTGTCAACTACATCAATGTCTGCTAATGGGTTCATGGGGGGAGAATGGCTTTTTGGTNCACGAACATCGGCTTGTTAAGTAAACCAGATGCACGATCTATGCATTTTACATTGTTAAACTGACACATTGAACTAAGGATTAAGTTTATACTGTCCATGGTGTGTACAGTTTCCAAAAGAAATCATGCTCTATTAATACACACTTTATTTTCGACACCGTTTCGATGCTCTTCCTTTCATTCATTATTGAAATCTTCTGTTCTCCACTACTTCGGTCGCCTTGCCATGACGAAAACTCGAGACGCTTTGGTCCTGACGTGGGTGACACCACTAGTCGCTCTCACACTCTGACTTCGTCACCATTTCGATTGAACCGAGTCTAAAAGGGACAACTTGGAACCAGCAAGCGAGAACCTGGTTCATTCTAAAAGTGCTCACTTCCTACTACGAGAGGCAGAGCATTATGCACTCAAATCTCTTCTACCTTAAAGTTCTGGTTGATATCGATAGTCGAACCTTGCAAGAACTTGAGTATCTCATTTTCAACAGACTGATTGAAACGCACGTGATACGGAAGTTGTTGGAAGAAAACACAAGATCAACTCTGCTCAAATGACATCAGATGATTTAATTTAATTAGAAATGCTGATAAAACTAGTATAAAAGGAAGATGAAAATTAGTTTGCTTAACCCAATCAGAGGAGCAGTCAAAGAATGTGCACTAGATCAGCAACTAAAGTAGAGTCCGGCACAAATATTAGAGAGTCGTTGATCGAGTTGGAGAAATACATAAACGGAGCACTCGCCAAGTGTCATCAACAACTTCCTGGTGTAAATACACGTTGCTCTGATTCATCCAAACGAATCATTTCAATTTGCCCACAACAACCCTCTTGTTGCGGATCGAGTGTTACGCAGACTCCTTGCTGCTCAAGTTCATGTGAACAAACCACATCTACTTGTTCGCAAGACACATTCTACTCTGATTTCAAAGCGTGTTTGGAAACGTTACTGAAATATCTAGACAGTGGACTCGCCAAATCCAGTCAATCATGTGCCGAAGTGACTTCATGCTGCTCTGATCCATGCAAATCAACGGCATCATCCTGCCAACAAACACAAACTCGCAACAAAAGGAATGCAGCCCAGAATACCTCCTGCTCCAATTCATGTCAACAAACCAAAACAACTTGTTCAAAAGACGCATCCAACTCTGATTTCAAAGAATGCTTGGAGAAGTTACTGAAATATCTAAACAGTGGACTTGCCAAATCCAGTCAAACATGTACCGAAGGGANAGATCAACTCTGCTCAAATGACATCAGATGATTTAATTTAATTAGAAATGCTGATAAAACTAGTATAAAAGGAAGATGAAAATTAGTTTGCTTAACCCAATCAGAGGAGCAGTCAAAGAATGTGCACTAGATCAGCAACTAAAGTAGAGTCCGGCACAAATATTAGAGAGTCGTTGATCGAGTTGGAGAAATACATAAACGGAGCACTCGCCAAGTGTAATCAACAACATCCTGGTGTAAGTACATGTTGCTCTGATTCATCCGAACGAACCATTTCAATTTGTCCACAAGAACCCTCTTGTTGCGGATCGAGTGTTGCACAGTCTCCTTGCTCCTCTGATCAATGTGAACAAAGCACATCAACTGGTGTAAATACAAGTTGCTCTGATTCATCCAAACGAATCATTTCAATTTGTCCACAACAACCCTCTTGTTGCGATTCGAGTGTTACGCAGACTCCTTGCTCCTCCAGTCAATGTGAACAAACCACATCAACTTGTTCGCAAAACGCATCCAACTCTGATTTCAAAGAATGCTCGGAGAAGTTACTGAAATATCAAGACAGTGGACTCGCCAAATCCAGTCAAACATGCGCCGAAGTGACTTCATGCTGCTCTGATCCATGCAAATCAACGGCATCATCCTGCCAACAAACACAAACTCGCAACAAAAGGAATGCAGCCCAGAATACCTCCTGCTCCAATTCATGTCAACAAACCAAAACAACTTGTTCAAAAGACGCATCCAACTCTGATTTCAAAGAATGCTTGGAAAAGTTGCTAAAAAATGTTAACAATGAAATTGCCAAGTATCCCCAAACTTGTGTTGAGGCGACTCCATCCTGCGGCAATCAACAAGTCAAACAAACAAATTCATGCTCTAATCAATCGAAGTCTTCAGTTAGAACTTCAAGCAACAGATGCAATTGTTAGAAAATTGATCCTGAGGTGACTGATTGTCTCAGCGCTCACAACATCTCCTTATTAGTTACAACATATCCACTCTCTTTACAATAAATTAGTTACTCATTCCACTCCTTGCCTTCTCTTTTGATGACATTTGTGCTCCGATGATCCGAAAGACTTAAAATAGGCATAATCATCTGGTCTATTTAATACATGCACATCTCTATTGTGAGTTTTCCAGTTTATATATGTGGAATGTCTGTTAAGTTCCTAATTCAAGTACACGCAGAATAAGGTCCTAGAAAACTTCCGATCCACAAGACTGCGNACTGCATATACCTTGAAGTGGTTTTGACATATNGAGTCGTTGATCGAGTTGGAGAAATACATAAACGGAGCACTCGCCAAGTGTCATCAACAACTTCCTGGTGTAAATACACGTTGCTCTGATTCATCCAAACGAATCATTTCAATTTGCCCACAACAACCCTCTTGTTGCGGATCGAGTGTTACGCAGACTCCTTGCTGCTCAAGTTCATGTGAACAAACCACATCTACTTGTTCGCAAGACACATTCTACTCTGATTTCAAAGCGTGTTTGGAAACGTTACTGAAATATCTAGACAGTGGACTCGCCAAATCCAGTCAATCATGTGCCGAAGTGACTTCATGCTGCTCTGATCCATGCAAATCAACGGCATCATCCTGCCAACAAACACAAACTCGCAACAAAAGGAATGCAGCCCAGAATACCTCCTGCTCCAATTCATGTCAACAAACCAAAACAACTTGTTCACAAGACGCATCCAACTCTGGTTACAAAGAATGCTTGGAAAAGTTGCTAAAATATCTAAATAATGAAATTGGCCAGTACCCTCAAACTTGTGTTGGGACGACT